CAGCAGCAGCGTGGCCGGACCCCGGTCACCGTCTTCCGCTCGAGGGAAAGGGAATGGTGGGAAGAGGCGGCTCCGAAGCAGGCGAGGCCCGGCGTGGGCTCCTCCTCTTTCTTGGCCGAGTCCAAGTTCCCTCCTTTCACAATAAATAACGCTGATCTAGGGTGTGCTCTCTGGCGGCAGCCTCGGGATTTTCACGTTTTTTCCAAGCCCCCCCTTTCCACTCTCTGCTTGCTTGCTTCTGTTTCAAGCTTTGTATTGTCAGGAGGAAAGTGGTGCCAGTTCTTAAAGCTAAAAGGCACCGCGTCTAGCTTCCGTCTCTCCGATACTCACTCACACCATAAAATCAGGCAGTTGGCCTCCTTTGCAGGGATGTTGTGAGGAGCACGGCTAATTATATTGCGCAGGGGAGGGAATGGCCCCTGTTACCCTTTCATGCACAGAGGCATAAAATAACTGATCTGGAAAGGGCCTTTGATCGATCGATCGATTGATTGTATTTATATCCCGCCCATCTGATCAAATTGACCACTCTGGGCGGCTAACAACACATTAAAATAAAACAATTTAAGCACAACATCAATATATAACAGGTGTTCAAGATGGTGAAAGAAAAAACACGTAAATAGTGGCTGGAGGGAAGGCCTGCTTAAACAGCCAGGTTTTAAATTGGCTTTTAAAAACTAAAACTTTTATAAGGCCATGGAGTCCAACCTCCTGATCGATGCTGGAATGCAAATCAAAGCAGATCTGACCGATGGTTGTGTAAATCACTGCCACATGGACGGCTTGCTTTTTCTTCTCTAAAGTAGTTTCGTAGAGCATCATACATAGATGTATAGAATAATGAAGTTGGAAAGGGCCTATAAGGCCATAGAATCCCACCCCCTCTTCAAGGCAGGAATACAAATCAAAGGATATCTGCCAGCTGGTTGTCTAAATTTCTCTTGAATGGCTACAGCCCTGCTGTGATTTATGCAGACTTGAAAGTGCCCCTTTTTAATAATCGATAACACTGCTAAAGCGTTTTTCCCTTTGCCTCTCAGTATTTTAAAATAGGCTGGCTTGATGTCGAGGGCACAGAAGCAATGTACTGTACAGTATTTTTCAAATAAGTAAGCACTACACTGTCTCAGTATGTTGGCAACAGAAAAGAATTGTAGAACTTTAAAGACCAAACAAAGTTCACACTGGGATAAAACTGTTAAAGCCCTGCAATATTTTGGTTTTTCTTTTTATTTGTTAACAAGCCAAGTATATTTATTATTTAAAATATTTTTCTCTGCCTTTTTCCTCAAAAAGGACCCAAGGCAGCTTACACCATTAAAAATACACTATTAAAAGTTAGAAACAGTGAATTATTCAAATATTAAAGAAAAAATAATAACATATTAAAATGTTAGGTAGTAGCATTAAAAAAAACAGATTTGGAAGCAACAAAATATAAATCACCCTGTTTATCATCACCTAGCCAGTAACTCACTAAAGGAAAGCCTGCCTAAAGAGAATTCACTTGGGGGTTAAACCACTGGAGTGCACGTGGGAAAGGGCTGACACTGAAGCTAATTTAAGTCTGCCGGACAAAGGCTACACAATGTTAAGCGTGTGCGTTCCTGCTAAAAGAAAAGTAACTTGCCAACATTCCTTGGGACAATTAAATAGTTATATCACCGAGGAAGAGAGGAAGATTAGCGTAACGACCCTCTTTTAATAATCGACGGCGCATCAGAGTTTTTATTTAATAAGGAAATACATGTGTTCTGTTCTAAAAGCCGCGCGTCAGCTTTCGGGAGAGACAGAACTCTTCGCCCAAGGCAGGCGAGAACCCTGCCCTAGGGCGCGAGCACAAAAATTCCCCCTGATTTAAAAATAATAATAATGACGCCACATGTCTGGTCGAAAGTTAACCCACTGAAAACGGATAAGTTCGTCGTTCCTGTCCTTTTTATGAGAATGTCTAAATAGGGATAACAAAGTGCAGGGATTTTCCAAACCAGTTTGGACGCGAGCCCCCCCCACCACCACCACTACC